AGGAATATTTGGGACATATTAAGCCCACACAGACGCTCAACAACCAAACCCAACCCAATACACCCAATATGCTAAACATCGGCAAGCATTGAGTCATACCTTATGAAGTTCGGAAGCCGGCACTTTCACCATGCATTCATATGAATGGCGCTGAGGAAGTGACATACAGTGGTCAATGGTCCACCGTCTATTCCGGCACACCTGACAGGCTGCTTCCATACCGTTCAAACCTATGAGCTCCTGCCAACGATTTCACGTCCAGCTTCGACCCGTCACCTCGTCGCCACGAGTGATTCGACCCGTCACCAGGAACAAGACGCTACTAGGAGCAAGGACGCTTACTACTAGGAGCCAGAAACTACTAGGGGCTTCTGGCCTTACTACTAGAAGCAAGGACGCTACTAGGAGCATTCATGTGCCGCACATGACATGGCACTTCGGCGGCCTTGAGGGCCTTCCGCAGCTCCCATCGGGCATCGTCGGGCACCAAAAGAGGACGAACTCAGGCACCAGCCGCCCCACTGGAGGCACTGCTGTCGGAGGAAGAGGACGACATGGCATGATGACACGTTGGAAATCTACAGCCGTCACTACAGGTGGCAAAGTCCTCCTATGCTGCGGTGTCTATTGGTTTGTACAACGGGATCCCCATCTTTGTGGCTAAGGTGGTCTATGAGTTTGGCTCCAGCCGTCCTCCATCCGAACCAACAAGCGCTGATCTTGCTTCGACTTGTTCACGCTCAATCCCTCGATCCACTGGGGTCGGCGGCACGGGCGTCAGCCCTTAAATTTTGGCTCACTATTACCGTGAAACAAGCAGGAGCACATGCGAAAAAGATATGAATCGAATCGACGAGCTGGTGTAATCTAAAAAAGAAAAGAGTTGAAGGAAGAAACACGTAAACTCGGACACATAAAGTCAAAGGTAAGATCTGTAATGAAACAGCAAGATGAATGAAAATGAACTAGAACGAAAGTACAGGGGGATGAACATGCAAGAGTCCATGAAAACAAGCTCATGGCAGCACCAAAGCCCCACAAAGACTTGAAACACTGAAAACCAAAAGATTGAATTGTAGAGTCTGGCCAAAACTTGGAGCAGGTATACAGCTCATTTCCAGCATATGCTGACCTTGCTTTTGTAGGAAGGTGCAATTGCAGCAAAAGACAGCCAAATTGCAGATCAGTAGCCAGTAGCAAACAACCTACTGCATTCTTCTCAGCCACCGACTAGAATGACAGAAAGTGAGCAAGTGAGAAAGGCACAAAGAATGCACAAAGTACAAAGCAACGACCCTTGCAGTGCCCAAGTTCAGGCGCAAACCTCAGCAGAAAGGGCACGAAGGAGCGGCGCTCTCCTCGCTGCCTCCAGATAGGATAGGCTGAACAGCAATAGAATTATCGCTTTCCAAAATTTGAGAATGAAAGCTGTGCGCATAACCTTTGTCAGACCCCTGTTTTCTTGAGATTTCACGGTTCACCCTGTTTTGGGATCTCCAAAAGTGTTCCTGGTGTCCTAATGCAATGTAGTCAGTTTCTGCCTCCACTGCTTGGGCAAACTTGTGACTTGGCATGGCTTGATGCCAGGTCAGCCGGGTCAAATTCAATCCGTTTCACACCTTCGTACGGAACAAAACAAGCTGTAATTGTGTCGACCATCTCGTGCCAAACAATATGTTCAACCAACATTCCTCTACTCAGGTGACACTATAATACTACTTGAACCACATGGTCTGAGTGCACATCTTGAACTTGTCCACAACCAATTTGCTTAGTATGTCTTCCCAACAGTCTCGGTTTCCCTTTTAAGAGTAGATTCGGAATTTGGAGGTTGACAGTCAGCAACTTCTCGGTCATCTTTTGCGGCACAACAAAATGCCTCTCCGTTTTCTCCAAATGCTCATCAAGAGAACCCCATGTCCAGCGTGGCAATTCCTGCTTGGATGTATTTAGATCGGGTTGGCAGTGCTTTGCAACAGACAGGTCTTCTCCACACTGGAAGAGGACTGCGAGCGGTGAAAAAGATCTTTGAAGAGGACTGACTCTCCGCAGCGGCATTCGCCCCAGCATGGTTCAATCCGCTTGATTTCTAAGTTGTCTGAAGCCTTGGAGGCTTGACACCGGAAAAAAGGATCTGTCAATGTCCAAAACCAGAAAAGGTTGAAATCAACACAAGTGTCAAGTTGCTCTTGGCTCCAGCTTTAGCAACAGCCCAAGTTAGCTGCTGTTCAAGAGCTCTGCTACGTGAGACGCAACCAAAGCTGAGAAAAGAAGAAAAGACACTCGTAGTCGCTAGTCAAAATGCTTGTGTTTATCTCCATACGCCATACACAAATCAATAAGCCAGGTCACTTGCAGGGCGCGGACAAACACAAGTGATCTGGAGCTTCATGAGCTGATGAAGTGTTTTGCAGTTTCCCAAAACTAAACCACATCTCTGTGGAGCTCATGCCCTGCGCAAAACTGACATAGCCTTCGGTGCCCACAATCTTGCAGACATCTTCCCGGGCAATGTGGGTTGTGATGAAGCTAGCTCTGATTCGGACAATCGTGCTTGCTCATGTGCCCTCCCAAGAAATGTGCAAATTTGGCAGTGAATCCAGCAAGTTGTTAGCTTTATTACTTGTGGTTTATAACTTGGCATCACAAAGGCGCGAAGTTGGAAGCTGGGCCAATACTCAAGTCTACCAGCGGCAGTCACGTGCCAAGTGGAGACACCCAGCTGCAGCCTGACAAAAAGTTCAGTCGAAGCTGGGACAATGGGGCCAAGAATGTATTCCCCAAAAGGAAGCAAAAGCGATCAAGGGCAAAGCTACAAGTGTCACTTGCCACAACATGCTTCTTGCACGCGAACATGAGCCTGTGGTGTCCCTGGTTCAGACCTCAAATAGGCAAACCATGCGCGGCCAATGAAGGTAGGGGTGCCAATATCTTAGGCTGTGATTTGGGGACAAAGCGTCTGGTCTTGAAGAATCAAAAAGAATGAGCACAAGAAAAAGAATTTGCAGAGTTTAGCCACTCCAGCTTACACAGTTGTTGCGAGACCACTTCATGAAGAAAATAAACTCCAAGGGTGTGAGCCAAGTTCAGTGGGGTTACCTGAGACCGTCTCAGACCGCTCCGTTGAAGAACATGTTCCCCAAAGATACCTATCACCCAGACTTTGATATATACATAGTCACATTAAGAATTTTCTTTTTAGCCAAGGATACACCTGAGGATGAACATCATCCAGCAACGCACGAGGAAAGTCTGAATGCTAGAGTTGAGGTTTTGGACTCTGACAAGTGACTCCTTTGCAACTGAGACTATACCTTGGAGGAAGAAAAAGCAAGGCGCCGGAGACTGGAAGTAGTACTCGTAATGTCAACCACCTTACCAGAGCCAGCAAATCCCATGTTTAGGTGTCACTCCAAGTTATCGCTGTTGCGAGTTGCCATTGTCTCTTGTCTTTGGAAGTTTTGTGAAGCTTTTTTTGAAGGGGGGTAGGCCGCTAGAGGTACTTAGTAGCTTAAGTAACTACTACTACTACTACTACTACTACTACTACTACTACTACTACCACCTACTGGCGCAGGATAGCTCACGCTCGCACTATTCATTTGGATCCTAGATGTTTAGTAGGGAAACTTAACTTCCTCCAAGCTTGCTTTCATGGTTAATGCAAAAAAACAAAGCGGGCCTATGTTTCCTCTTAGCCAAATGGCTGTTGGTACGTGTACATGAGGTGCTATGATTCAACACAAAACTCTTGCTTTGGGCTTGCTGTTTCCAACTATAGTACCATGTTGCTTCGCCCTCCAAAGCGAGATCTGAAATATGACATAGATACGAGTACCTGTCTGCCTTCATTTGAAAACATTTGGTTCGTGTCATTTGCTTGTCATAGTGCAGCTGACTGCAGGTGACGGGTCAGAATGAAAGGAGCGTTACATGCTGACAGCAAACATGGGGCATCCTCCACCAGTTGGAGGAGGAATGGGGAGCGAGGGGGAACTATCGAAACTTGAAACGAAACCGAGGCGTTGATGTTGATTGGCTTGGAAAAACTCTCAATTTTTTGACTGTTCGAAGAGGTTCAGGGAGTGTTCTCCGGAGACGATTCAAAGTGCAAAATGAAGTTAAGACAATATTGTCTCGATAAAAACAATTCACTCACCCTCAAAAAAGCTGGAAAGCATTAGAAAGCGCTCAGAGGGCCATGCCCCGCTTTGGCTGTAGATAAGACGACCACCATACTGCAGCTTCCTGTCCAGATGATATGACGGCCGCAATATCTCAATGTCTTGAAAACGGATATATATAATGGAGTGTGCTCTGCGCACAGCATGCATTGACTGGTCGGCATCTTGGTCGTCTCTTTCAACGCACGGCATCAATGGTCGGCTTGCCGCTTCCTCCAGGAAGAGCATATGTGTTTGTTGAGTTCAATACGTAGCAAGGCAAGTTTGACTCACCCCCGGATTTGATGTCATTCCAAGTGTCAAAAGGCCTTGACCCGAACGACTTCTTATCAGCAGCAGCATCCCTGTCATCTCCAATGATGGTGACAGTATATTAAATGGTGTCAGCTGATCCTGCCAGAGCTGATCCATGACGGTGCGAGCCTTCTTCTTCTTTTTCTTTTGACCCTGCCTAGACGGAGGCAGGCGTAGATCAATTAACCCTTGACTATGTATTCTGTAAAATGGGTGGGGATATGTTCTGGAAATGTGTTTTCGATTTTTTTCTGGGAATGTTTTTCGGAATTTTTCTGGGAGTGCTTTAGGAGCATCAGGAGCAGCAGAAGGGTCAAGAGAGGAAGCAGCAGAGCCAGCGGGAAGGAATTTTACCTTTGCGTGGCTCACAAAAGGTCTGCAACGTTGGAATGGTTCCTTCCTCGCCTGAATTTTATCCTCGGGTGGCTCACAAGTAGTCTGCTACCTTAGCATGGTTCCTTCCTCCGCTAATGTTTACCCTCGGGTAGCTCACCGGTCTGCTACATTGGAACGGTCCCTGCTTCCTCTAAACGTTACTTTCAGGTGGTTCACAACAGGGCTGCTACATTGGAATGTGTCCTTCCTCCTCTAAACGCTGGCTTACCATATCTATGTTACGTTGGACTGCCTCCCTCCTTCTCTAAATTTTACCCTCGCATGGCTCACAAAAGGTCTGCTACAGTGGAACGGCACCTTCCTTTTCTAAAATTATCCTATGGCTCACAAAAGACTGCTACGTTGCAACGACACCTTCCTCCTCTAAATGTTGCCCTCGGGTGCCTCACTAAAGGTCTGCTATGTTGGAATGGCGCCTTTCTCTTCTGAATGGTTCCTGCCTCTTCTCAATTTTACTCCAGCTGGCTCACACAAGGTCTGCGTTGGCATGGCTCCTGGGTCTTCTAATTTGACCCCTGGTGGCCTACAAAAGGTCTGCTACGTTGGCACCTACTTACCTTCTTCTTCCTTGAACTTGAACTCTTGGGCGGCTCATAGAAGGTGCTACGTTGGAGTGGGGTCACTTGCAGGGGTTCGGATTTAATTTAGGATTTTTATTACTTTTGTTTTAATTTTTTCCCGAAAGCACTGCGAAGGGTTCTTCCGGAAAATCTCTTGAACACTTACACTTCTATACTTACACTTGAACACTTACACTTCTATACTCTTACACTTCTATACTTACACTTGAACACTTACACTTCTATACTTACAATGGCATTGAAGTATCCAAGGGAAAGTTTGCAAGTGAAAGCATCCAAGTGCACGTGTGCAAGTGTAAGTATCCAAGTGCAAGTAGTGCAAGTATGCAAGTGTAAGTATCCAAGTGTAAGCACGCAAGTGTTAAACTTTCACGGGAGATATCCTAATGAAAAACATTCCCCCACTTTATAAATTCTCTTTAAAGGCGGAGAGTGGGGCGAACAGCGTCAACCGAAAATGCAGCCCTCTGCGGAGATCGTGCGTGTTGAGCAAGCGAAATGCAGGCGAGAGTGCGATTTGTCCGGGCCGCGTGGCACCTTCTGCGGAGATCGCGCGTGTCGAGCGTGCGAAATGCAGGCAAGAGTACGATTTGTCCGGGCCGCGGGCAACCCTCTGCGGAGATCGTGCGCGTCGAGTGCGCGAAACGCAGGCGAGAGTGCGATTTGTCTGGCGCCGGCGCAACCCTCTGCGGAGATCGCGCGTGTCGAGTGCGCGAAATGCAGGCGAGAATGCGATTTGTCCGGCGCACGCGCGACCCTCTGCGGAGATCGCGCGTGTCGAGTGCGCGAAATGCAGGCGAGAGTGCGATTTGTCCGGTGCGCGCGTGACCCTCTGCGGAGATCGCGCGCGTCGAGTGCGCGAATTGCAGGCAAGAGTGCGATTTGTCCGGTGTGTGCGCGACCCTCTGCGGAGATCGCGCGCGTCGAGTGCGCGAGACGCAGGCGAGAGTGCGATTTGTCCGATGCGCGCGCGACCCTCTGCGGAGATCGCGCGCGTCGAGTGCGCGAAATGCAGGCGAGAGTGCGTTCTCGTACGAAACGCTCGTTTTGGAGACTTGCCGCTTCACTTTGTACTACGAACTGGCCACTTCTGAGTCCAGCTCCTTAAAGCTCTTTCCCGGACTACATTTGTACTACAAACTGGCTCCAGCTCCGAAAAGCTCTTTCCCGTACTACATTTGTACTACGACCTGGCCACTTCTGAGTCCAAAACGAGCGTTTCGTACGAGACTTCCTCCAAAAGTGAAGCGCCCCGTCTCCAAACTCCAAAACGAGCGTTTCGCACGAGACTCCCTCCAAAAGTGAACCGCCAAGTCTCCAAAACGCGCGTTTCGTGCGAGACTTCCTCCAAAAGTGAAGCGCCCCGTCTCCAAAACGAGCGTTTCGTGCGAGACTTCCTCCAAAAGTGAAGCGGCAAGTCTCCAAAACCAGCGTTTCGTACGAGACTTCCTCCAAAAGTAGTGCGGGTAAGAGCTTTTCGGAGCTGGACTCAGAAGTGGCCAGTTTGTAGTTCAAAAGTAGCGCGGGAAAGAGCTTGCAGAGCTGGAGCGAGAAGTGTGGCCAAAGTACGTTCGTGACGTCGCAGCGCCATTGGGATTTGTGCGGCTTGGTGGGAAGTGTGTTTGCATGGCGCCGTGCCACTGGGGAGCGCAAAACATGCTGGCGTAAACGCAGCGTGTGGCTGGTGAGCGGGATCATTGGCGGTTTCATGTGATATGAATGTGTGCTTCTAGTGTGTGGGCAGACCGTGTGGCCAAAGTACGTTCGCGATATCGCAGCGCCATTAGGATTTGCGCGGCCTTGGTGGGAAGTGCGTTTGCGCGGCGCCGTGCCCCGGGGAGCGCGAAACATGTTGGCGTAAACGCTGCGTGCCGCCGGTGAGCGGGATCATTGGCGGCATCGTGTGATATGTTTGCTTCTAGTGCGTGGACAGACCGTTTGGCCACAGTACGTTCGTGATGTCGCGGCGCCATGGGGATTTGCGCGGCCTTGGTGGGAAGTGCGTTTGCGCGGCGCCGTGCCACTGGGGAGCGCGAAACATGCTGGCGTAAACGCGGCGTGTCGCTGGTGAGCGGGATCATTGTGGTATCAAGAGTGTCCCAAGAGAGTGCCCGGCAAGAGCTTCCGACAAGAGTGACCCGCAAGAGTGTTCCACAAACAAGAGTGTCCTTCAAGACGGCGTGTCGCTGGTGAGAGGGATGATTGGTGGTATTATGTGATATATTTGCTACTATAGTATGTGGCGGACCTCTTCAGCGTTGTGCTGACACAGACTGCACTTGTGGAGCTGGACTCAGACCTGGCCAGTTCGTAGTGCAAATGTAGGGCGGGAAGAAGCTTTTCGGAGCTGGACTCAGAAGTGGCCAG